CTCCCCCCCCCCACCCCCCAAGGGGTGTCACCCTCACCAGTCCAGGTAGTTACGGGTGACGTTGAACTCTGGGCTCACGGGCTCCAGCCCAGCCAGCTTGTCCAGCTCCTCCTGGACCACCTTTTTGGGGGGGGGGGTGGAGGGGGGGTGATGTCATGTGGGTTGTGATGTTATGGGTGATGTCAGGATGATGTCATGGGTGGAAAAATTGCCATTGAGTGTGGGTGTGGTGAGGGCCCTGGGCGCCATGGCCGCTTCATGCACTTGACGCACGGCTCATGGCCACCGCTGCCCAGCCAGCCCTGGCGGCGGACACATGCGGGAATGCCAGGAAGGGTGGGGGGAGGCAGGGGCGGCGACGCGGCGCACCCGTGATACGTCCTCTGGCGCGAAGGGCTTGCGGGGCTCCCAGCGCGACTGGAACCTGCGGGGGGGGGGGGGCGCGGGAGGTGGGTTGAGGGTTCGAGGTTGAGGGTCTGAGGTTGAAGGTTTAGGGGTTGGAAACACCATCCCAGGCCCGGCTTTTGAGTATCCCGCTCCCCAAAACACATTTGAAAGCCCCGCAACTCAACAGCGTCCTGACAGCCGCGAGGGCATCACCTCGTGCCCCAAATTGCAGATTTCAAGTAACATTTGTCCAAGATCAGATCAGATCATACCAGATCAGATCAGATCACCCACCTGCCGATGAGCGCGGCCTTGTCGTCCCGCTCCAGCCCCAGCTCCCTCTTGATGCTCTTGAGCTGCTCCATCAGGATCATGCGGCGCTGCTCCTTCATGATCTTGGACTCAACCTGCAGAGAGTGACGTCACGGTGACGTCACCGAGGGGGTCGATGGGTGTTATGGGGTTGGGGGAGGGGTCAGCTAGGGGTGGTGCAGGGTGGTCGATGGTGCATCATGTATGAAAGATTTGGGGTTGGTCATTTAGCGTGTCTGGCTCAGGTGATGGACATTGCAAACCCAACAGGGCTGCAGGAGCAAAAGAGACGCGTTGACAAAATAATACTCGAGGTTTGACACGTGATACAGTGCGGCAGCTGCGGCAAAGCCGCGGGTCGGGGCAGGCCCAGGCCGGAGAGGCCGGCGGTGCGGCTGGCGCAGGCGGGCTGCGCAGTGCTGTTCCGTTCCTCGACCCGGAGGTGTTCGGCAGCGCTGGACACGCCCGCCGGCCCGCATCGAGTTGAGCATCACGCGTCGCTCAGGCAGCAGCAGTCACCCCCCTCGACTGAGCGCGCTTGGCGCCGCCTCAGGCCCCATGCTTCGCGCCAGGGGATGGCCACGCGGCAAGAGTCGAGCTGGCATCCCCCGGGCGGTTTAAGGCGCGGAGGTGGAGTTGTGACACATCAGCTCCCTCCCATGCCAAAGCCCTCTGAAAAAGGAATAACAAGGGAAATTAAAAAAAGACCGTGCTACACCCCCAAAAAAACGTGTAGTACCCCTACAGCAGCAAGCAGCTCTGGCTGCCCGCAATCTGTGGCCCGGGCCACAGCCAACGAAAAAACCCGGCAGGCTCATCCCGCGTGCGCCCCGAGGACAGGGCCGCGGCGGCGGTGCTGCCGCTGACTTCGGAAGTACCACAGCCGCCGCGTGGATGCCGTCAGACGATGCGTGCGGCGGCGACGGGCGGGCACTCGCCCCGTGGCTGCCACCCGACTAGCAGCAGTGGCGGCGGCGAGAGCACCAGCGGCGGAAACAACACTCAAACAAAAAACGAAAGAAACTCCGATGAAGCGGCGAGCCGAACAGCAGGAGCAGGGGCAGCAGTGTCAGCAGGGGCACCAGCAAGCGCAGCAGCCGCAATTCAGCCCCTTGGCCGGGCCCGGCGCGCCCAGCGAAGGCCTGGCGCCGGCGCACCCGGATGCGGCAGGGGTGGGAGACGCAGGCAACACACCCTGGCCGCAGGCACGATTGGGCCGGAGATCGGTGGTTTCAAGTGTATCGTCTGGCTCGCCTTGAGAGTTCAAGTCACCCAGCAGTGTTGAAGGTTGATAGTTGAAACCCAAAACCCTGAAAACCCCCATCTCCCATCAACCGCTAGTGAAGAGGTGTGTTCGCAATCAATGCAGGCCAGGCACTCGCGTTGCCTATACTGTCCTGGGCGCCCCCGCGCCGGGTGCCTTCACGGCAGGGGAGCGCGCGAGCGGTAGGC